CTCTCTCTCTCTCTCTCTCTCTCTCTCTCTCTCTCTCTCTCTCTCTCTCTCTCTCTCTCTCTCTCTCTCTCTCTCTCTCTCTTCAATTTTCCATTCCCGGGGGGATAATATTCACAGATGTTTGTTTTAAAATTGATTTTGCTATTTAAAATCACGGTGTTAATTTTTAACTTTAAACGTTTGAAATAATATTTTTCAAGAAAATAAAGAAAATTTCGTGCTCCTAGTAGAGAAATAATAATAATAATAACTTCCATTGATTTCGCATCTTTTTTTCCACTTTTCCGTACTCATAAACGTTGCTTTTAATAATCTTTTCCACGTTTTAATATCCATAGTTGTTTTCTTTAAAATCAACTTGTACTTAGAATTACAACTATGAATATAAGAGAATATAACGATAACGATATAACAACGTCTTCATAATTAATTAGAATCGTGGAAATAAAACGCAAAGGGTGGTTGTAATTTCAATTAAACAAGCTAAATTAGTCTCGTTTTATTTTAATACGAACAAAACTTGATATGAAATTCGAACGAATTAGCTAATTAAAACTATCCAAAGTTTTAATTTCGAGCGAAAGGGCTGTTGACATCCAATCTACTTTTCAAATTTTCTTCACGTTCGAATTTCCTCTCTCGTCTCGATTCGAAACCGACGAATCTGAAATGTGAAATTCAAATTGGCAAGTTGGCCCTTTCCTTCGAATTTAAAAGAAAACACGATCGCAAATACGATCGCTTCGCAAATTGTCGAAACACCGTCCAATTCCATCATCACTTTTGTTCGAAGTGAAATTATCGAATGAAATTGTATTACAATCTTTCTTTCAAAAAATTCTCACATTGTTCACTAATTTATTTTAATTAAATTCTTTGTATATTCTCTATATATGTATAAAACTTATATATACTTAAATCGTCGAGTTTGAATAAATTTTAATTTCTAATTTCTTTGCGCGTTTCGTAAAATACGTAAATTGATTTGGCAGAAATATTTATCGAGATCGATCCGAATGGAAGTCAATTTTCGTATAAGCGTTTTCTTCGAGTGATAATGGCTCGTGAAGAGAGAGAGAGAGAGAGAGGTCACGAATGCTGGTCGAATGATATCTATCGGAATTTCGGAGAGTAAATAAAAGGAGAGATGCGATCAATGTGCAGAAAACTGTAAAACGAAGAAAACGAGGTATCTCGGTGGAAATAAATGACAAATGAAATGGAATAAAGAGAAACAATCGTGTTGCATTTATAGGAAGATCCTTTCGTTATCTTTAATTCCAACTCTCTCTCTCTCTCTCTCGTCAGAGACTCTTAAAGATTTATCAGATTTTCATTAATCGTTGATGGTAAGCGCGATGGTAAGAAATTCTATCATTAACGAGTTGCGATGCAATTCTTCTTTCAACGTTAAAATCGTAATTAAAGGCTTGACAGATGTAGCCAAGTTAAAATTCTCAAAATTGGATTTCGCATCAACGTGTTTAATTTGTAATAAATTTATCTCGCCCAGAATGACAGGTTTTAATGAAATATTTGTTTTTGCTTATTATTTTTAGCCCCCGCATTAACGGATGTTTCATTATCATACTTTCATTCGACGTATTAATTTCGCGCCCGGTTAAAGTAATTAATCGTTTGGTATTAGTCAAAATGATCTAGATTCAAAAAAAAAAAAAAAGAAAAAAAAGAAAAGAAAATGAAAAGAAGGGCACAACCGAAAGAGGGGGCAAATTTCAAAGAAAAAAATAATTTTTCCTCGTCAAAATTCGTTGCCACCATATTGCAGGACATCAAATATCGCACGACTTTCAAACGTAACTTTCTTTCCGTGCATTATACGCCTCCATACATATTCATGAAAATTCATCATTTCTTTCAGAAGTGTTTGCACTTCTACAAACTAGTTTTTGCCAAAACGAAAAATGATTTCGTTATTGGCGTTATATACGAACTACATTTTAAATTTCGTTGAATTTTTTTCTTTTTTTTTTTTTTTTTCTTCTCTTTTTTCGCTCGAATTCGTGTCGTAACTTCGACTCATGAATATATATCAATGGTTAAACCGGATAAAGCATTTAAGCGATAAAATATTTTATGCATCCTTCAAATTGTTTAAAAAATTCATTTTAGAGAGATCTAAATATCTAACCCGATAGTTAATTCAAATAAATTCGTAAATGTAGAAATTTCATTTCTACGGGGAATAAATTCAAAAAAATCTATAAATTGCGATGTATATATTTCAATTCGACAAAAGATCGGCAAGAACTTCGTATCCTATCATCGTCGCGAGTTTACGCACTCGTTTCACTCGTTCCGATCATTTGAGAAGAATTTTCACCGCGGTAAAAATAAGTTATATGCGAACATATGGGATATCTAACCTCACTTCGAAGGATACACGCAAACCCCTATAAGAGAATTGTCAGCTATTTTCCCTCCGTGTCGATCCAATCGATTTCTAAAATTATACACAAGAAAGAAGAAATTGATGAAGAAACGCTTGACGAAGCAAAGAATTAAACACAAATTCTTCGTTCTCTTTTTTAATATCAACGATAATAATACGATCAGATGTCAGAAAGGAACATCGATTAACAAGTCACTCTACCTGACAATCGATCGTTACATATTTAAGTCTCGAACGTGCGATGTATCTTCAAAGCGTTGATACAGTTGCAGAAAATCGTTACCTTATATTTGCTCTCCCTCGTTTCCTTCATTTTTTATTCACCTCGCTATAGATATATCATTTAAACGTAAACAATTTTCGTGTCGCGAGGAACATAAACGAGGTGAACGTAACGATTTCAGAGCATGTATTATGCAAAACTTGGTTCGTAAAACTTGTACGGTACACAGTCATCTCGTTTCGTCGACGACGCAGCGTATTCTTATAAAAGCTTGCATAACACGGTATAGTTGTATAGTTACATTTCAATGAACGTTACATTCTCGCGTGGTTGTCAGAAATGACTGTTAAAGCCACCAAGTGTTATGGAACTATCGATAAGGTCCATGTTACGTAAAAAGGTGTGAGAATGCATATCGTCGCTCGAAAGTGTTGGGACGCTTCGTTCTAACAAGCATCTGAAAAACATTGCGAAATCGGTTAATAACACCGATATTCGATGTATCCACGTAATAATTTTGCGTCAAAAAAAATATTAAATGGTTAAACCCTAAATAGTTAATAATAATCTTTATAAACTTCTTTCATTTTTTTCTTCTATATAATGCTATATAATATTCAAAGTATCTCAAATTGAAAAAATAAAAATTTCTAATTATTTCAATTTCTATGAATTGTATTTCTTCAAATCGTAATTTTTCCTTCATCTGTTAACAATTTATCCATGTATCCCTCGATTGAACGAAATATAAGGAATCGCGTCAAAATCTGTGTTAGATCTATTCTAAAAATTCAAAACGTATAAATCGGTAATAGCCAATTGTAGTAACAAACCAAGTCAATTGCAGATTGCACTCGACCCAAGCAATAAGGTCATTCCGCTTGGTTTCGTACCGATTGCCGCCCCATTCGATTCGATATTAACTTGGTGAACCCATTTCTGTTTTTCTCTCCTTGAACAATGCCGCCTCGTCGCATCGAATCCGCTTTTTTTATTTTCTATTTTTTCTTCTTCTCTCTCTCTCTCTCTCTCTCTCTGTGTTCTTCCTCCGTTCTTCCTCTTTCACGTAACAATTCGAATTCACAATTTGCCGCGATTCGACCTATCCCATCCGTCTAGAGGCTGGCTGTGTACAGCCGAGGCTAATTTAAGAAATCAATTAAAGTCGTCCATGGTTAATGGCATCGAATGGCATCGCGTCTCGTCGCCATCGAAACTGTTTTTAAACTTTCACCCGCAAAAGCGGCCGATCTAAATCCATCATCGACCGGTGTGTGTGTGTGTGTATGCGTGTTGGGACGATTGAAATTGCATTTTCTCGCTCGAACGACCGATTTGGTGACAATGGTAAAAGTTTGTTGCTCTCTTCTTCTTTCTTTTTTTAATTTCGACTTTTGAAGTATAAATCAGCCACGGCGTGTTAAACCACCGCTATATTGTTTTGACTTTTTTTCGGATACGTTGTTTAAATTTAATTTGAGAAGGAACAGAGGTGTGCAACTTTCGAGAAGTACGTTTAAACACGATGTGTATAGGGGGAGTGAATAAAAATCTTTTCCTTTCAACCTGATTCTATTAATTGGTGTGTCATGCAAATATATGTTTAATATTCGTAATATTCTTTTTAATAAATACAATAAATTAATTATTTTCACGTGATAAAAATAAAAATTTTTCTATTACTCGCGATTTAAAATTCGCATATTGAAGATATTCGAACGGTGGACCAATATAGAATTTCATTAACTTTATTGATACACAGAAGGGGAAATTCAAGATTCAATCTAAAGTAACTTTCCATTTCGTATTCTGGGAAAGAGTTGTGCAAACACAACATTCGTGCTTCGAGAGAAATTGGCGCGCTCTGAAAATATTTTAAATTCACAGCGGCGGAAAATTGTGCGAAGACTAAAACTCTATCTTCCAAATATTCGATCCGCTAATCGAATCACTTTTCTATATCGATTTCGCTATTTTCGATTTCGCGCGAATTGTATTGTATTTCCTTTTGATTGCCAGCATCACGCGTTTATCACTAACAGATCGACCGATTTATTCGTCTCTCATTTATTATTTTCAATACCATCAATAATTAATAATTTGATTTTTATTTTGTTGCAGCTGGAGTTATTCACAATCGCGTGCAAACATGCCAACGTGAGTAGGCAAATTTATTTTTTCTTTGAGTATATATTTAATTTAATAATAATAATAATAATAATAATAATAATAGAAATATCAATAAGAAAATAGAAATTGGAGAATCGATTCTTATTAAAGTTTTCTTCTTATTAATAAATTATAGCACAGCGTTATAATTTTTCTTCTTCTTTCTTTTTTTCTTCATATTTTCAAAAGTCTATTGGTCTATACTTTTTGAAACGTATTTATACGGATTCCTTCGTATCAATTTGGCAATCAATTTGAAACTAAATGTTCAGTTAAAATTTCAGGAAACGAGACTAAGCTTCTACCTCATTAATGCCTCATTATTACATCATTACTCGTTCCTCCTCGACTGTTATACGATCGAGGACATTCTCGATAGAATTAAATATCTACGATCGAACGTCTTAATTAATATTTAATAAAAAGGACAGACTCGTTCCATTCTTTCCTTACGCTCGAGTAACAAATCAGAATTTTAACGAACGCAACAATTTTTCCAAAATATCCTTTATTATGTTGTTAGGAACAAAATTTATTCCCGACAAATTATGTAAAATAACAAAAATTGATTCAACCTCTTTACCTATAAGCATAATATTTACAGAATTTTCATTTTAATTGTTTAATCCGTCTCGAGATATCTCATCGCCTGCTAAAACATGCGAAACGAGATCCGAAGCAACATTGGATTCCTCCCTGGTTGAAAAGTTTTCATTCGCAATTATCGTTGCCGTTAATTATTCGGCCGATCGAGGAAAATTTGCGGAGATAACGAGATTGTTGCGCCGAAAATTTCATAATCGGTGCATTATCGGACGAAAATTGGACGAAAAGTAAAGGAAACACAAGGGCGTGCCTGTCCACCACTCGTCTCGAAAAAACCCATCGATTTTCGAATTTGCGGTTTTCAACCGCGGCGTTTAAAGCGAAAAACTGATGAGAAAATTCCACGGTTACTCGGTTGGCTGTAACGCTATTAAAGGGACCAGACGCTACCCAGACCCAGCCGGAAATTATGAATGCCTATCGCGATACATCATTCGATATTTCCGCCACGCTGCCTCAGAGCACATCCTCCCCGATCAAGAAAACCGATCCGATCGAAATTTTGTGGAATTTAAACTCCCATGTCTCTCTCGTTTCCCATTTTCCCTTGTTTCTCTTCTTTCTTTATTTTCCTTTAAAAGTCGACGCGCGCAGGGAACAGTTGCAAGTTTGTTGGTTTTGTAGATAGGAATAAGATTCCAGTAGACAATATTGCTTATGCACGATCTTCTTGGATAAACTGGTAAATAAACACGTTGGACGTGTAGAAAGGAATATCGTTTGAAGTAAATGATTTTTTCCAACTCGCTATCGATACCACCTTTTATTCCGATATATTTTTGCTTATCCATAATTTTATTAATAAATTCTCTTTTTTCGCAACATCGTCGTTCACGTCGTCGATCACAGAATATTAACACCAGGAGGGAGGAGGGAGGAGCTTCGAGCGAGAGTCTCGTTTGAAAACGTTCCTATGCAAATAGGGGCGGCCGATTTAAGCGCCCGTGAAACGAACAATTTACAATAAAAAAAACGTGCACTTTTAATTTCGCGTCACGAGAAGCGTCGCTCTATTTATAACTGTGTCAGCCGCCATTATAAAGCTCCCCGCTTTGGATAAACATTCGTACGGTTCATTTCGATATTGCGTCTTTCCGCGAAACTTTTTTATGAATTTTTCAGATAAAATTTATCCCTCTCCCTTCCTCCGCTGCATTTTTTTTTGCCCCAACTTTGGATGCAAAAAAACAAGACGGCAAAGCAGAGGCAACATCCAGTCTCCACGATGTTTCAACCATTACGATAGGAAATTCGCCCGTGTTTCGTTGCAATTATTATTAAATTTCCAGATCTTTCTTGATGGATCTTTTTTTTCTTTTTTTTTTTTTTACGATTAGAGAAAATTCAACGATTGTTCGAAACGAAATATTTATCGTCGAAAAATCTGCGTTAACCTTCGTGTTTACATTCGATCGTTTCGGATTCATAGATTTCCGTAGTTCGTACTCCGCGTTCTCCGGCATCCACGGAATGCGAATTTTATCGAACATTCCATAGATTTATTATCGATGTCGCGGAGAAATCTTGCTCGTGTCGATACACACGTAGATGGAACACGATTCTTCGAAAGTTAAATTATAACGAAATTATTAAACAATTTGTATTTTATGGAATCGATTATCTTCAAACTTAATTCAAAGTTGAACATCGACTTGATTCAGCATGGTTGAAGAAGAAAGGAGGATGAAGGGAATCGAGGAAGTAAAAGGAAGCGCAAAGAAGGGAAAAATACGCGAGGAAAAAGGAAAAGGCGTTCAGATGCCGCGCGTATCGCATATACTTCCAAGGTTGCGCGAGGATGGAGAAGGAAGAGGGGAAGAAAGTTTTTAAAATTAACCTTTTTAAAATTAGATATGTTGATCTCGGGCGTCGCGTTTTTCACGTTAAACAGTCTCACGAATTTCCGAATGCTTCCGTGCCGATTCATCCAGAGATTTTTCGGTCGATCGACATTGGCGCGTATTGTGTCGTGACGCTTGTGTCTTCCCAAGTTTTTTACGCGTCTCGTTGTTGAGAAACGATTCTCCACTTGTAATCTTTGAATCACAATCCGAATTCCGCCGCGATATAAAGAGAGAGATATAAACGAAGAAATTATATGCGAGAAACGACAGAGATATTTTGTGAAAATTGATAGATAAACTTCGAAAAGATTCGATGAAATTCGTTTAAACGGATAAGAAGCATTAGTTTGAATTTTCTCGCCACGATAAATAAATTGTGACGATTGGTGATTGATGTCGAAGGGATCGAGCATGAAGCTTTCGTTAAGAATATAATTCCGGAGCAAAGTTTTGGAAGTTTGAATTTGCAAAAGCGAAACGAATCCAAGAAGAAGAGAACGATGACTTCAAGTCGGATAAGAATAGCTGCCCTGCTTTCTTGGTATAATTTATATTTTTTTTTTCAACGTTTCTTCTTGAAATTTCTCGTTTCGAGAAATTTAATCGAATTGAAAAAAAAAAAAAAACGTGCGATGTATTTTTGTCCTTTTAAAAGAAGGAAGAGGTGATACACTCGTCGAATCGAATGCGTGATTTATCGCGCAAGGTAGGACGATTTACAACACAACGAAAGGAAGAAAAATAGGGAAAAGGACGGTCACCTTTTTTTTCGTTTATCTACAGCTGTCCACCAGCTGTCCGTCTTCGCTTATATTTCCCAATAAATTTCCGCTCGGCAGGGAATTTCATAGAAAGAAACGATTTTTCTTCGGTTCATTCACCAGCATCCAATTGAACAAAGGAAGATCAATACAATAATCGCGGTGGAATTCGTTCATAAAGTTATTTTCTGCCCGGAGGAGAGAACTTTAATCGGCCCTTTCTCGACGAAAAACAAATTTAAAATAACAGTTTCCACTCGAATATATCCAAATGGATTATCGGTCGAAGAAGGAAGATTCGATCGATTTTCTTGGCGGTTCGAATTTTTCGAACAACGTTGCAAAATTTTCGAGAGGTAGGTTCGAGGAGGGAAACGAAAGAAACGGTGTACGGTGAACGATAATTCATTGATAACTCTACGGGTACGCTTTTATGCCGGTGAATAGAATTATCGAACGACGGTAAAGTGGTATGTGTAAGTGGTATCAGGGTTGAAAGGCTATTATACGCGAATATTGCCATCCACAAGTTACTGGACATTTAGTACATTTAAAATGAAAGTAAATTACGGTTATGAAGATAAAAAGAAAAGGGGAAAAGAAAAAAAGAGAGAAATATCTATTTTCTTCTTAAAAATAAAATATATCTCGTCGAATCAATATCCCTTGTAATGGAACGCAAATATACTTTTTCGAGTGGTGTGGTATAACAGTTTTCTATTATAACAATCGAAAGGAAATATTGAATCCTACTTTCGACTATCTGCATATAGGGAAAAATGTGAATATCGTGGATACAACGCGTGCAAATATAACGCGTGATAATAATTCGAGGCAAGAACAAGGCCTCTCCCCTTTCCTTTCTTTCTTCTTTCCCATTCACAGCTCGTTTATTGTTACCAAAAATGGCGATGACGCGCGTAGTCCTTCGCCAGCCCCCATGTCTAAATACGGTTAATGCTTTCGACGTTCTCGTGTGTCATCAGAGACGTTTACCAGGGAATGGACCTTATTTTCTGTCTTTGTGAAACTCTCGCTTTCACTCTTGCAATTTTCCATCCTCTTCTCTTCGTCGATGATTTTATAATCGAAGGAAATTCTCACGAGGAGAAATTTTCATTCGATAAGATTTGATAAAATATTTTTTTTTTTTTTAGGAATTTAACGGTACAGAAATTTAAGCCAATATTAGGAAGCGAATGAATCAGTGTCCAAGAATGCGGTGGTTTGTGAAACATTCTGTTTAGTCGGCCATTCTTTTCATTTGGAACTTTATTCTTTAAGAACAGTTGCTCGTAGTTTCGACCCTCTTCCGGCAAAAATTTACCGTGTGTCAATCACGAGGTTCTTCCATTTAGTTCTTGCTAGATATCGAGAAAAGAGAATAGAGGAAGGATGAGAGGAACAGCGGTAATCACTTCTTCCTGCAAACAAGAAAATCGATAGCGATATATATCGATTAAATAGTTTAAGAAGAAAGTTTACTACGTACTTCTCTCTTTAAGTTGTAACTTTTCTTCTTTGGCTTGCACGTGAATATATTTACAACGTAGTAATAACAGATTAAGTAAGTTGTTATACGGATGATAGGAAGTCTGCAAAATTGATGAAAGTTGATCGAAAATTACACGTAATTTTATTTAACATTTACAGAGATTGTAAAATATTTACGTCATAATATTTTCATATGGAATATATAATTAATTTATTCGTGAATATTTGATTGCCCGTAATAACATTTAACGATTCTATTTGGACTATTTCGGTACAAATTTCA